ATGACTAATACAGATTTACTCTGCATTTTACTTTTTTCCATGCAACATTGTTGTTTAAAATGTACCAATAATAGAACATTAGTTTCAGTTCAGTCATTTTTAACTTCTATATCATGTCCTTTTGTATGAATGTCTCACAGTTTATTAAGCAGGTCCCTATTGCATTGCTTTTCTCTCTTTGTAGCAATGATGTAGTAAACATCCTTGTACAGGGCTCTCTCTCTCTCTCTCTCTCTCTCTGGATTCATGGCAGACTCTATCTTGGTTGTACACCTGAGAGTGGGTAACGATAGAAGGTATATTTAGCCTTGTTGAATTTCTCCCCCAAATGGTTCTACCCATTTATCGCCCTGCATCAGTTCTATGTATTTTGCTCTTGCTTTATTATATTGTGAGCCAATTCCTACAGGCAGACTGTGAGTAGACTTACCTGCTGGCATGGGTGTTATGAGGCCTCCCTTATTTTTCAGGGTGCACTCCTCTGGCCGTTAGTGAAGTAGAGCATCTTTCCACTTGTTTAAGGATCACTTCCTTTTCTGAGCTTTGCAGGTTGCTATGATCTACCAATTTCTTTCTGCTCCTTTTCCTCTTGTGAATGTGTAGAATTGTTTCCTCTCCTGTTCTCAGCACTAATCCTCTGTCAGTTACATAAACTGTAACTGCATTCTCAGTGTTTGTGACTTCATTTAATTTTGTTCATTGTCCATTTTCCGGTCTCTCGAAAGCTGCCAACTGCCTGCTTCTGCACATGCTTGGGTTTTCAGCTCCCAGCGACTGCGTGGTGAAAACGACTGGGAGGTGTACTTTGAGAAGCCTAAGAGAAGAAATGCTGCCTGATTCTAAATACCTGTAGCAGGAGAAGGACTGCGTTCTTACAAGAGAATCTGCAGAGGACCTGTTTTGCTTACTCAGGGCTCTCATTTGCTAGCACAATGGTGTAGTGAAAGCAAAACAGCCAGGTGTAAGTGGAAAAAAACCTGAGTCACCAAGGTTGTTTGGGTGGCTCGATGGCGAACACCGGGGTGGCTGGCTTCCCCTGCCACCATGGATCCTGGCACGATACGCTGGGCTGTTGTGACATTTGGTGGACCTAGCACATGTGGGAGGACATCTAAGAGACGTTCCGTATCACGCCGCCTCTCCTCTCCCCACACGCACCTCCGAGAGTCTTCACAAGGGTGTGATGATGGGAAGCCTAGGAGCCGCTCATCACAAGGTAGAACAAAGCTGTGCTTTTAGCTCTCCAGTGGGGAGAGTTGCTTCCAAGCTTTGTTTACCTCTCGGTGCCTCGGCTGGCCCCGGAGGAAAATCTTAGCTCAGGACAGGAAGCTCAGAGCACACCAAAGGATGACTACAGCAGCACAGGACTATTTCTGTCTTCTCTTACACATTGTTCCATGCTATTCCCAGGGGGCCCCAGGCTGTGCAGGTGCTCCAAGAGGGCCTGAATAAACCATCACTCCCTAGGAAACCAACCGGGATGGCCGAAACCAAGCTCTGGGATCAATTATGTTTGTAAAAGTACAAAGGCAAGGAGTGAGTCAGAGGTGTTGTGGCTTAGGAACAACTTGATGAAAAAAAAATACTTGATGCTCCCAAGTGGAACCCTGTGGCCCCAAGGCAGGTGATCCCAGCTGTCTGGTCAACCAGAGTTCTGAGCCTCTGTTCCAGCTGACTCACTTGAGTGGCAAATTCTTTTCTCCCTCACAGCGCTCTTGTCTTCAAAGGGAATTCATTGAGCCTCAGCATGCCAGTGGCACTTGGCCAGGTGTTCTGCTGGCCCATTGGATGCACATGGACCACAGCCCCAGGGAGCGTGCCAAGTGAGGTGGAGGGTGGCAGCTGAGACCTGTTGGCACCCCCCAAGGTTGTTCTAGAGCACTTTCTACAAGCCCTGCGGTTGTTTCAAACTACGCGTGTGGGACATGCCACACACACCATGTTCTTTCCCCAACCCCTGGCTCTGACTCACTCTATTCCCTTCTGTCTGCTCAGTGCACTCAAATGTCCACTCCTGGATGCAGCCATTTCTGGTAATCCGCAGAAGAACGTTAACCACCCTGGATTCTCTGCGCTCCCCTACATAGCACTTTGCATCATCGCCCCAGTGCACAGCACTCCATGCCAGGATCATTTGCTCCCTTAGCAGACTCCTGACACCTTACAGCTGTGGTCTGTGGTTCATTCCTCTTTGTGTCCCTAGCCAGCATTTGGTGGGTGCTCAGAATCCAATGCAGCAAGGGACACAGCTCAGAATTTTACATGATTCTACCTTGTGGAATACCTGGAAGCAGGTCCCATTTCTATGACCTTTAGTTTCCTTTTCTGCAAAATGGGGTGGCAGGGAGAGGATAAATAAGAAAAAAAAAGGCTTTTCAAGGGGTTTCTGGCTTTTTTGCCTGTAACTTTAAAAGTGTAGTCTCTCGGCGGAAAACAGACATACAGACCCAAATGCTATTTCCACTTACAGGTATTAAGAAGCCAAGTGTTTCCTTCCCACCTCTCTCCCGTCACCTTTAAAGAAGCGTGTATTACTTAGCACTTTGCAAAATCTCTGACTAAAGTTTCAAGAGGTTTGTGGGACAGATTGATTACAGGAAGTGTGTAGATGTTATATTCCCTGGGGAATCAAATGATTGAACGAACTGATTCTCGAAGAGAGTTTCTGCCTCTATTTTCTGTTGATGTTGTCAGCCTGACTGCATGTGGAAGGGGCTGCTGTGTGGCTGAGCCTACCCCTCCAGCGTCCCTCTTCCTGCCGGTGTGCGGGGCTGGCTGCGTGAGCCACACCCAGCGGCACTGGCTCAGGGCACTCGGGCTTTTCCGAAGCTTACGTCTGCCCTTTGAGTTAAGTTAAGTTAAGGGGCTGGGATTTCCTAGGCAGGGAGGGCTGAGTACCCCTGGCTTCTGAGAACACATTTACAACATGCTAATAATGATCTCAGCTTCATGATCAACCTACAAGGCAAAGCAGAACGAGAGGTAGGACTGAACCATTTTGCAGGTGGGAGTCAGACTCAGGGAGGCAAAGTGACTTGTGTGAGCTCACATGCCGAGGCAGATCTGAGCCCAGTCGAATGCGACTCCATGATTTTCAATGTTCTCAACGGTATTGACTCCCTTCCAAAATGATTGACCTTGCTGCTCTATTATCTGGTGCTCTTGGTACACTCTGTTTGATGAAATCAGAGGCAGGTGAATTCTAGCAGAAAGAAAGAAGGCGTCTTAAGCCATTAGTGCTTTTGTAGGACAAAGTGGCTGCATTCATTAATGAAGGGGAAGTCAGATTAGTTAAAACTGTCCATCTGGTGGCTTCTATCATTAGCATCTCACTATGCCAGTAAGTGAGTTGTTGAAGCCTGAAGTAGGGCCTCCTTCTGAAAGCTTGGGGGCTCCATGCTGTAGGGTACTGTGAGGGTACCTCAGGAGCTCAGGGTCCGAGGGTCCATCTTCCTCTCCACAAAGGCAGCTAAATGGGAACACAGTGGATTAAGGCGTCTCTCTGATAATGAGTCCTCCCCGGCTTATCTCAGAGGAGGTAGTGAGCGTCACACAATACGGAAGCTCCAGAATCTGCAAGTGCTGGGTGAAGATCAGGGTGCACCGTTTTACTCTTGGTATCCTACTCTCGTAACAGTGAATGGTCTCTGTGGACGGAAGGGAGCCTAGCCCAGAATTCCTTCTCTGAAAGCGGCCCCCAGAAGCATTACGTGAGAAAACGTGCATCCACCCATAGTCCCCGATTGCCCTGCCCTCAGATCACTGGTGAGAAGTAAGGAGGTCACGAATGTGAGGACATTGCAAAATGCTAGACACTGCCTTTGGTCATGACGGATTCTTTTTCCATCAAGGTTAAGAGTTTCTGTTTTTGCCCTGCCCTGTCTCGTCTCGGGGAGGAAGTGTCCCGCTTGGCTGAGAAGTAGGAAAAGGGCTGGGTTGCAGCTCATCTGTTGGGGTTTTCATCCTCAGACGTTTGGGATGCCCTTTGGGAAGCAGTGGCTCACTCTTTCTAGAAAAATCTATAAGCTTTGGGTTCCTTTGACTCTTACTAATCCCTCAGGAGCAATTCCATTTCTGAAGAAGGCTTTTTACTTTGTTTGTTTAATTTCTCTCTTGTCCATGGGAGAAATAGTTGCTTTCATAGATTGTAAGGAAAAAACTTCTTAGTAACCTAAAAAATGTTTAAAGTGGATAGGGTCCAACTTTAACTTAACAATGTCAAGTAAAAACACGCATACTTTTATTTCCAAAAAGTAGAGGCAGTTTACAATATGGATATACGCTGAGGGTGTCAAGTTGTAAATCAAAAGAAGAGGTCATAAAAATGGCAAGAAAGCAAATGTGCTAAGTTATAAGACTTCGTGTGGTTATTTTATTTGAGCATGAGACATAACTGAGCTTCCTAGCAGGCAGGCCAAAAAAGCAAACATGATGACTCACAGACTTCTTTTGTTTTTTCCATTGATTGAAGGTAGTGACCTGATTGTTTGAGAGATTCATTTCTGATATTAATTTGGAAATAGAATTCATTGCCGAGCAACCTACGAGCATAGTGAACATGTCTTTACTAAGAGTTTTACCTTTAATGAAGGAGATTCCCCTTTGTGAATTCCAGACCCGTGTTAACTACTGACCAAATGTCTTCACCTACATCTCCAGGGTCATCTCAAATTGAGCACATTCCAAACTTCACTTGCTAACGTCTCTCTGAAATGGGTTCAACCCCCTGTGCTCATCATCCCTGTTAATGCATCACATATACAAGATACCCTTGCCAGAAAATCACAGATGGTATAGATGACTCCACCCCTAGCCCTCAGGCCACACCCTACCCCTCCTCGAGAGTCTGTCTCTTTGATATCTTTGAAATCCTTCCTCTCCTCTCCACCCCCATCACTGCTACTTAAGTTCAGAGCCTGGCCTTCTCCCCCCTAGCCTACTGCTATAGCTTTACAACTTGCCTTCTCGTTGTTTCAACCTGCTTACCACCCTGCCTCTCCAGAAATGGAGCTACCAAAACGGCAACCCTAATCCTTCTGAAAACCTTCCAGGGACTGCCATCTTCTCCAAGGTGAAATCTGAACTCAAGGTCTGGCAGAGGAGAACTTGCACTTGCTTAGTTTGCAGCTCCTCTGCTGCCACAGGCCTTACCCACTCTCTGTTCCAGTAGCCAGGCCACTTGCCTGTTACCACGGCTCAAACCTCCCTGCTTTGCCAGTCCATTCCTTCTGCCTGGAAGTGCTCTTCCTTCACAAGCCTCCTACTCTGGGAAGCTTTGCAGAACCCCTTCCAATAGCCAGCACATCCGGGTCCTCCCCGCTCTGTATTCTCCAATACCTGTGTCGATCTCAGTGATACTCACACGTGGTGCTCTAACTGCCTGCCTAGTGTCTCAGTGCTCTGAGACTATTAACTCCTTAGAGGCAAATGTGGGATCCCCCTCATCCTGGATTTCCAGCTCCACCCATGGGTCTGGCAGAGTTGGAGCCTGGTAAGTATCTGTTGACTAAATGCGTTGATTTTGCATGCTGCAATAAAGTCAAGGTCGGGCACAGGGACAAGAGCGTGTTGTGGACCAAGAAAGCTTTTCCTTTAGGATACTCAGAGGAGTGGGTGGCTGTCCATGTACACCTGTCTTGAAGTGTCTCTCTGCGTTGGCCTTTGGTAGAGGCTTGGGGGCAAACTGCGAGTCGTCACACTCTTTGCAGACACCTCTGTGGCTGACAGCCCGTGAATCTAACCCAGGTGCAGCTGTATGTCTTGACCAGCTGTGCACAGTGGGTGCATGGAGGCAGTAAAATTCTCTCCAGCCCGATCTGGAGTGGATTATACAGATATGTTGCTGCACAGCCATGATTTCCCTCAAAAAGTACCGCTTTCTATGGCATATCTGGCATAGCGTCCATAGAGAATCCTTTCCTTATTCCACTCCATCAAGTTTCACATCATACAGAGTGGTTTTGGTCAAGGTCTGCTTGTAACTGACTTAACTGGGGCACTTGTTTGACACCCTGCTTCCTCAGGTCTCCGCAACAGATCCTGGCCTCAAAAATGGCCTCAGAGTTGGCTGGGACGTTTTTCCAGCAGATTCCATTGTCTTGCTCTTCAGTGGGAGTGTCAGAGCCCAGGACTGACAGAGCTTGCGCTGGATCTTGTTAACCTCCATGGGTCACTGGGTGTGAAGGTTTGCGGGCAAAAGCAGGTTCAGATGGCCCTAGGCCCAGTAAAATAACTCTACACCACAGGCCCCGAGGGCTGTTCCCGTCACGTCCCACAGCCCCACCTGAGCGAGGCTGTGCTTAGCAGAGGCACCAGAGGAGACAGCACTCCCGACGGAGAATGCGAGTTCCTGTGCAGGGCTTGGCCAGTGCAGCATAGCATGATAATTATTATGAGTCATAATGTCTGGTAATCGATGTTTGAAGTAAATAATAACAATAATTCAAAGTCAATAAGATTTTGCTGTTCTCAGAACCCTTGTACTGGATTCCTTTCTTTGAACTCACAATAGCCATATGAGGCAGCCAAGGCCAAGGCTGATTCTATTTCACAGACATAGAAGTTGAGACTCAGAGAAGGTAAGTGACTTAAATAAAGTCACACAGATGGGATGTTCACGCTTGATCTCAGAGTCTCTGACTCTATTTACATGTTTCATTCCACTCCACATGGCTTCCTGATCTCTTAAGTGATCAGATTCAAAGTTGAGAAAAATTACTTATGAAGGTAGAAGTATATTTTAGCGCTCTACAATCTCCATAAAGAAATTGAGAGTTCCCATTTCTGGATTATTACAGAGGTAAACTGTAAAAACTAGAGTCCCAGGTATCAGGCAGGCTTCTTATGTTTTATGCCAATCTAAGCCTTCTGGAAAATTCCCAGTGGTACACTGAGACTGGAGCTGGCTTATACCTACATGTGTGAGACCATTGTGGCAACTTCTTCTCACTCCATGGTTGTTAATGTCACATTCATAGCTTGAAATCAACAGGCTATGGTGCAAGTATTTACATCACAGAAACAACAAATCCTCTAACTTAGAGCTTGTTCATCTCCACAGAAGCAGTTGTTAAAACATTTACCAGAACAACACTGCTTATAGTTAAGAATGATCGGCGCCAATGAACTTGAAAGTTCCTTGTCATCTGCATGGGACCATTGTTGGTGCTGATGTTGCCCTAACCACTAGCCATACTCCAGTGTTATTCCTTGAGTGGGAGTCTCTTTCCACTTGAACTTGCAAAATCAGACGGATGGGTTTCTACTAATAGTCCTTTGCATGTGTATGGTTTGAAAAATGCTTTCAGTTCCCTCATCAAGTCTGAGCCTCATGTGATCTTTGATGTAGATGCTGCCTCCTCTTGCTAGAAAAGAAGCGCCTGAGATCTGACAGGTGATGTGGCTGCTCCCAGGGACATAGGTCTAGCAAGTAGAACTGGGCTTTCAGCCTCCTTGTTATGTGCTCCCTCCCCGTGTAGCAGCTGCCTCCATCACCTAGCACATGTGCAATGTCTGGAGACTAAGCTGCTTTCTGGACTGCAAAGAAGGGATGCCTAGCTGCCATTTGAAGTGTAGCATAGGTCTCAGCCCTTGCCAGAAATTGACAGACAGGCTAGCTTGGGAGCACCTCCACCTAGCCACCAGCTCTACTTGACTCATCCAGTGCAAGCAGAGATGTCTGCTTTCACTTCCCATTTGTCCTTGGTCCTCACTTTGCTTCCTTTGCAAAACTTTATGGGGGCCTTGCTTCTTCGGGGCCCACTGTAGGTCCTGCCCTCGGCAGGAATTTGGAGCCTGAATGACCCAGCATTATTGCCCAGCTTGCCACCCTGCACAACCCCCAAGCTCTCTGCTGCCCAGTGACGGAATTATTGATTGCTGAGCATTTCACAACACATTTTCAAAACACGCCAAAGGTCAAAAATGAGTGACTCATGGCCAGTCACTTATCTCTCTTTCCCAGTCCCTCTATATTGCATTGGCGAGGTTGGCTAATGGAAGTCCCTAAAGATAGGCAGAAGATCAGTCTGTCCAAGCCTGGCCAGCAGGATTATTCAGTGGCTTGAAAAAATAACTTCTGATCTTCTGGTCAGTGATTGATCTTCTGCCCCACTTTGAGTTGTAACACCAAGTCTCTCAAAGAGGTAAAGATAGGAAGTAAGGGATTTCTGTGCTGATTTTGCCACCAACTCATCCCAGGCTATCCCAGAGTACCAGAGAGGTACTGAGGTTGGTGATGCCAGGGCCACTCTGAGCTCTGTGACTCTGCACTAGTCCCTTAGATAGCCAAGAGGCAACCCCCAATTGAGCTTTGTAAATAACTACTCACTTCTCTGCCTGAGGACGAGAGCTTCCTATGGAAGCGCTTTGGTGCAGAGAGGGCTCCAGGTCAGACAAGGGATCTGGGCTATCACTCAACTGTGCTGCCTGTGGCTTGACCATTCTGACAAGTTGCTGGGCCTGTTGGTACCCCCAGTTTCTTCACCCATCTAGTGGGCACAATGACAACACCTTCTTCCAGAAAATTGTTTTTAGATGAAATGATATAATGCACATGAGTTTTCATTTGGTCTAAACTTTAGAGTGCAGAGAGACCTGCAGTATGGTTCCACCTGTGCTGGTCAAAAGTTGGGAGAAAATAGCATCAAGTTGGTAATTTTTAAAAGCAATTTATTTTATTTATTTGAAAAGCAGAGAGATATGGAGAGAGAGAGCGATAGAGAGAGAAATCTTACATCCACTGGTTTACTTCCCAAATGGCCTCAACAGGTAGGGCTGGGCCAGGGCAAAACCAGGAGTTAGGAGATTCTTCCAGGTCTCCTACATGGGAGCAGGGGCCCCAAACACTTGGGCCATCTCCATTGCTTTCCCAGGTGCATTATCAGGGAGCTGGACTGGAAGTGGAGCATCCGGGACTGCAACTGGTGCCCTTATGAGATGCCAGCTTTGCAAGCAGTGGCTTGACGTGTTATACCACAACAGCGGCCCCAAGCTGATGATTTTAAAGTCTTGATATGCAAATTCTTCTACCTTTTTTCCCCCTTAAAAGTAGTCTAATTTGTTGAATCAAAATTTCTGAGTGCCTTAATTAGAACAGTGCTGGGACTGGAAGTTTCTTAGTAGTTCTTGAGCTTTTTACTTTAAGTACCTTGGAGCCCCTTTTATCTTACGATGCTAATCAGAGAAAGATGAAGTGTGATGAAGTCAAAGTGATTATTGGTCCCTGGCCCTCATTACCCACCAGCGTGGCCGTCCCCATATGCCCGCCTCCATACCTGTGTGTTCACCCTCGTCAAGCTGGTACGGGCCGTGCTGCCACCTGCACTCCCGACTGCGAGATGCGCCAGCGAAAAAGGAAGCCCGTTCAGTTATGTAAAACACATTCTGGGTGAGGAAAGACTGGCATGTGTTTCTGCTCGGCTGCAACTGCTCCCCCACCACACACACACACACACCAGTCTGTCCTCTCATCAGGACTTGTCAGCATTTAGAGACCTTGGCAATCGCAGCCCCCACCTCTTCCTTTTACAAAGGAGCAAGCTCCAGCTCCGAGCAGAGGAGTGACTGTCCCTGGGCCACACAGCCTGCTTGTGGCAGAGTTAGGATGCAGGCATCAGCCTACTGACTTCTCCCTTGGCAGCAGACGTCAGGAGAACACAGAGAACCTAAAAGAAGAAAGGGGGAAAAATAGATCTTTGTGGAATATCTTGAGCTTTGGATTTTCAAGGACAGTTTTATATTTGATGATAAGTAGCAATGATGCCTCAAAAGCTATGGTAGCTAGCTTGAATGAACTTATGTAATAAACATTTATCACAGAACATGTGTCATCCAACACCTGCCAGATCTGAGCGTTGGCACAAAAACTGCTTTCATTGTCAAAGAAAAGAGGGGGGAAAGGAACTTGGCTGAACAGAGCTGGCAGACGCTTTTACTAGAAAATTCAGAGGTAATTTCTAGAGGAACAGAAACACATTTTCAAAGTCTCTGAACATTTATTTCAATGTGATTGGATGAATTTAGTAAAGAAGTGAAGAACATGGAAGACCATTTGATGCCTAAGGCCATTTCCACATTCCTATCTTTTCTGTCCCTGTGGTCCCAGATTCCAAGAAGCATCTAGATGGGCAGGCCCAAGGGTGTGTCTGAGGTTACTGATCTCCTTCTAGGCTCCCATACAAGCACATCACAAAGCACTCGTGGTTCTCACTGGAATCTTTCCTCATTAGGAGAACATGGCCAGAATCCAAGACAAGGACCATATGTCAGTCAAACCAAGCCTATCCATACAGAGAGGATTCTTTGGCCTGTATTGGAAGTCAATCCTACTTCAGCACATTGGTGCAGTTGCCAAATATGTGGTCACTTCCCTTTGGCTACCCACAAATTTTTAACTGCAAGATCTGTTCTTTTTGTTTTTAAAGATTTATTTATTTTAAAGTCAGAGTTACAGAGATAGAGGGAGAGAAGAAAGATCTTCCATCTGCTGGT